AGTTTAAAGAGAGTCATACTGTGTGTTCCAATATCCTGATATCAGTGTGAGCGGAAAACTGTCAGTAAGCGGGAAACTCGCATTCAGGGGCACAAGCAGTCAGCTGATAGATGGATTCACCAAAACTAAGCAGGCTTCCGAGCAGGGTATCCCAGCCCCGACAACATTTACACTCGGCGTCCACTCACTCAGCAACGCTGACGATTTCAGATACCTGGCTTAGCAAATTTCCTCGACTTTAAGGATGCATTTAATTCAGTACATAGTTCAACGACAAGGCAATTTTGAACTGGTACGGGACACATGAACAGATTGTTTCCATGTTGAAACACATGCATGAATGAGCTATGTTTGCAGTCAAAGCGGAAGGAGTGCTATTTAAGTGGTTTTCTATTAACTGTGGAGTTCGCCAGGAAGACTGCTTTCACCTTTGCTATTCAGTATTGTTTTCCACTTTCTTCTTTGAAACAGTACCGATCCTTGCAAAGACTCGGTGCAAAAAAACGCCTGGCCAAAGAGCTTTCGTGAAATTTTCCTAGGAAGATGTTAACACTGCTATCTTCGTAAGCTCCCAAACAATTTCGCTCTACCCAACTGAAACAATTTCTGAAAGAAGTCCCACCATGGTTAAAATAATATCAGGTCACCAAGCTGAAGGTCTTAAGGATTTCCTGGCAAGATCCAAACGGTATTTAGTAGTATCCAATCTGTTTATGTTATATCACTCATGGCAAAAGGCATGGGAATCTGCTCCACCATTCTTTACCAATGAAAGTGGTGTTTCGCAAAACTCGTCACCTCCTGTCAGCAATAACAACAACCTAAAGGGAAAACATAAAACTGCATCGAACGGGACTCAAATCTTCTACCTTGTCTACCAAGGTGTAGAAAGAGTTATGCGTCATTCGTGATCAAGAACCCCTGACAATGCTAATTAGCGACTACACTACTACTGTAAATACTATTACCATCACTACTGTAAATACACTTACTCCATTTTTCTGAGAAATTGACAACTGCT